GGTGCCAACTTGGGCCAGTGAATCAACGTCCTCCACAACTAGACTGAAGAACAAAACAACAGCAACTTGTCTGTTCCCCTTCCCCCAATTCCCCAATAAAAAAAAAATCTTAAAAAAAAAAATTCAAGTCCCACAGGGGTGAGGAGGTAAACTTTACGGGTGTCTTGGCTCGTGAAGGGAAAAATGGTTGAGAAGTGCTGCTTTAAGGAAAAAAGTAAAGCCACCAAGCAGTTCCTCCCAACTGTAGGAATATTAAAATATTTGAAGTAGGGGAGGATTTGACACCCTGAGGTTTAATTGGGTTTGACATCTCATTTTACAGCTGAGCAAACTGAGGCAGCTGACTGGTAAGTGGTTGCACCTGTCTTGGGGTTTGGGCCATTAGATTCCACTGAACCATCTCCCCCAAGAGGGACTCAAATTGAATTGCCAGATCTACTCAGAGCTTAACTAGGTCTTCTTACTTTAGTTCTCTTATTTGTAACATGGTGAAAATAATGCCTGCCTCACAAAGTTGTTCTGATGCATTCAATAAAATATAATGCCCTGTACATAGAAGATGCCCAATGCATTTGCCTTCCCTACATATCCCAGTGTATCACCTTTATTTTTCTCTCCTTGGGGAAGGGATTTCCATTTGGAAAGTGACAACTTCAAAGGCATGAATCTGTAATAGTGGAATTCAGGCATGAGTGAGAAGTGGCAACAAACACTAAAAACGTACAGCGTGCTGTATCAGAAACACCACTAAACCTTCCCGGAAGACAAGCCTGAATCCTACTAATGACAGACAGCAGTGATGAAATAATGGTGATGGTGATGATGATGAAGATGGTGATGATGATGGCACTTCAGTAGTTATAACACTGTTGATAACAATAGCAGCTATACGTTATTAAGTGCTTTCTTTGTTCCGGACACTATTCTAAGTAGTTTATATGCATCATACATCTGTTCCTCACAACAATCCCCTGAGGGAGGTAAAATTCTTGCTCTCATTTTATTGAGGACCATCTGAGGCACAGAGGGGCTGAGTCATGTTCCTAAAGTCACACAGCTAGCTAGGAACAACTGGAGTCTGAGCTAAAGATTCTGAGAAAGTGTATTCTTTTAGTCACATCGCTGCACTGTCAATTTATATTTATGAGTCCTACTGATATCCTTCACACTTGTAAGGGCTCTCCCACTCCCCTCTTTATGAAACTTTTTCCTGCTCCTAGGGGAAAAAGTTTCATATTTTTTTACAGGCTGCCTGTTCAAAATCCACAGGCAAATACACATGCATGGATATCTGCCTGTGTTCTGATATTTGAGAAGCACAGTTGAAGATCTGTGAACAATGGACAACTCTTTTTTTTTCAATACTATTTAAGATTTTTTCTTTTAAGATGTTATTGGGGAATTGGGGAAGGGAACAGTGTTGGGGAATTGGGGGAAGGGGAACATTGTGTTTTTCCAGGACCCATCAGCTCCAAGTCAAGTTGTTGTCTTTCAATCTTAATTGTGGAGGGTGCAAACTCAGCTCCAAGTCCAGTCGCCACTTTCAATCTAGTTGTGGCAGGGGGCTCAGTCCACTATCCCATGCGGGAGTTGAACTGGCAACCTTGTTAAAAGCATGCGCTCTCACCAGCTGAGCCGCCCTGCCACCTGTTGGCAGCTCAGTGGCAGCTCAGCTCGGGCGCAGCTCACTGGCCCATGTGGGAATCAAACTGGCAACCCTGTTGCTCAGAGTTTGCGCTCTAACCAACTGTGCCACCCAGAGAACTCATTTATTATGAAATGCCTTATTACTTTCTTTGATATTTCTCGTAACTTCAATATTTGCTGGTTATCAAAGTCCCCTAAACTTGAATTCTGGAGCAATTTTTAGTGGACCTAAGTTCTCTATGGTTTGTGAAAATCTATTGCAAACTTGAGTGGGTCTTCCATCTGGTAGGGGAGAAAATAATAATGGTTATTGTAAGAAGAGAAACCCTTATCACTGTAATAAAATTCGTACCATATGATAAGCGCTTCCTACAGGCTCTGTATTGTGCTCTGACAGATGTTTTCATTTAATCCTTACAACAAACCGATGGAGTTGAACTGTAGAGACCCCTTCTTTTACAGATGCTAAAACTAATTTGATCTCATTATAAAAGCCAAGGACACTTAAGTAAATTTTTCTCCAACTTATACCTTCCCAATAGTACTAAAAATAAATAGAAGAAAACGAAAGAGTGAAGAATGGTGAAATGATAAAACATGTTTTTCCTACTCTAATGTGGTTTATTTTGTAGGAAAGTGTGGAAAAAGTCAGTCATTTATTTTTGCCTGCTTAGTTTTTTTTTGGTGTTTAAAAAATAATTTTAGGGCCGGCCGAGTGGTGCGATGGTTAACAGCTGGCTTGGGACACCAGAGGGCCCCGATTCGGATCCCACATATGAGGGCCAGTGACACTGCCCTCCACAGCTAAGATGCTGAACAACAGCTCAACCTGGAGCTGGGCTNAGAAGGAAGGAAAGAAGGAAGGAAGGAAGGAAGGAAGGAAGGAAGGAAGGAAGGAAGGAAGGAAGGAAGGAAGGATTGATTCACTCTAGAATACCATTCTACGCCACCAGATCAAAATCCACACGGACTTTACCTTACCCCCACCCCCATTCAAAGAGTCGAGGTAGCGGTAGCGCCTGCGCACTAAGCTCTCATTATGTTACAATAATGTAACTCTATAGAAAATGCATAACTTCCCCCACTTCTTCCTTTAAGTGTAACCTGAAACCCTCCTTCAAGGAGACAGATTCCGAGCCTTGCCTCCCGTCTCCTTGCCAGCTGACTGCTCAATAAAAGCTGTTTCTCAAAAGCTGGTGCCGTAGTATTGGCTTCTATGCATGTGGGGCAGTGAACCCTTGCTCGGTAACAGAAGTTCAAGTGGTTCCCATGACATGAACGCTGAGAGGCTGGTAAGAATTCTCAAATGCCAACTGTATTGTCTATGGACACATCTGTAGATCCAAGAGTTAGGGACAAACTTCCTCAAGTGATGATTGTAGGAGGCAGCATATGCACACAGAAATGTTGGAAATAAGTGAAGAAACAACTATTTCCAATTCCTTGATTTCCCCAGACATGGGTTAGCTTTTTAAAATTCTGGAGTAGGCTTTTATTTCGCTTTAAAAAATCTATTGTGCAAGAGCAGCGGAAGTCATGCAGTGGTGAGCGTCTGAGTTGATAGCTGTGACGCTTTGATGGCTGTGGAGTCAGGGCTTCCTGTTGTCATTTTCTCTCAGTGGAAATTCTTGTCTTACAGGTCAAAAGTAATGGAGATGAAATGATAAACATGCTTTTAACTTTCAAGAATATTAAGACTATAAGACGGTGTGTTTCAGAATTCACAATTAATCTTACTTTGCAGAGCTGGGAAATGTCAGTGACTATGAATCTTGCGTTGATTTTTCTGCATAGCTGCAAAGCCACCCACAGCCCATTAGGGTGAATCACCGAGGGCAGCCGGAGGAGGCGGGCCCACACTGAAGGTACCACCTGCCTCTCCCAGGAGCCTCCCTGAGCAACTCCAGGGGACTCCTCAAGCCTGGCTTTCAGAGGCAGGTAAGGTCCAAGACATGGAAATCCTGACTGCTCATGTGATCCTTGATGAGCGTTGTCTTGACAACCCAAAATTCCTCATTATGACTCTTTTTTTTCTTAAAGATTTTATTGGGGAATTGGGGGAGGGGATCAGTGTTGGGGAATTAGGGAAAGGGAACAGCCAAGTTGTTATCCTTCACTCTTAGTTGTGGAGGGCGCAGCTAGCTCAGCTCCAAGTCCAGTCTCCATCCAGCTGCCCGACGGCAGCTTGCAGGCTGCTCAGCTTAAGGTGTCATGTTCAATCTTAGTTGCGGGTGCGCGTAGCCCACCATCCCATGTGGGAGCCAAACCGGCAACCTTGTTGTTAGGAGCACATGCTCTCACAAGCTGAGCCATCCTGCCTCCTGTTGGCAGCTCAGCAGCAGCTCAGCTCGGGCACAGCTCACTGGTCCATGTGGGAATTGAACTGGCGACACTTTTGCTCAGAGCTCGAGCTCTTAACCAACTGAGCCACTCAGCCGGCCCCGGCATCATGACTCTTCTAATCCTTATCTGTATTTAATGCCAGTTACCTGAAGTTTTGGGAGTTTTTGGTTTTTTTCCTGTATTTCTTCCTATGTGAGGTAGGTGTCTAGCTTTGGAGCAGAGAGGAGGAGCGAGGAAAGATGGAAAAGGAGGAGGGGACAAGCAAAATGGAGAGGAGGACGAAGATGCGGAGGAGGAAGGAGATGAGGAGGAGAAGAAAGGAAGGAAGTTGGAGAAGGAGGAAGGAGATAGTGGCTGTGGCTTTAAAACCCTGAGAGGGGCTGGTAACCCGCCAGTCCCTGGGAGGAGCATGGCCCTGTACGTGGGGCTCCTGTTGGTTTGGGCCTGCTGGCATCTCAGTGCAGCCAGTCATCTGCTGTTCCTGGAAGAAGGTAAGGAGGGTGTCTGGAGTTGGGCATCAAAAACGGGGTCTCACACGTCTACTGGTTCGTAATGAAACCTGAGCTGCCGTGGAGGGTAAGAGTCACTCTTATTTCATGGGCTCTAAGAAGGAAAAAGATACTCTCTATCGTTCACAGGTATTTCCATTTAATAGACACGATCCACTGATAGGCTTTTTTAAAAAAAGACTCAACTAATAAAAACGAGACTAGGAATGTAAATTGGAAAGTTTTATTGATAGAAGTTACTTGATAATCATGTGTCTCTCTTCACTCCAGTGTGTTTTAAATGCCTTATGTAGAGGTTTTGAAAATGAAACTAAGTTTTGGAAAGCTTGTTTTATTCCTTTACCAAAATCATGCTGCCTTTAACAATTATAAAGTGACGATGTAAGAAGATACTTCATTGTGGATGCATTTCTTACATGTTTGATGAGGATTAGCCATAGTTGTGGAAACAATTTTTAATGGAATGGCAAGGGACCAGGATCTTACCTGTGCTACTTTAAATATTTTTCAGGCCAACTTTGCATTGAAAAATATATCAAACACGGGTTGATAAATGTTTTAAAAAGCAGAAAAAAGAAAACAATGCTCTCCAAGCAACTATGATCACTGCTGTCTTATCAGTTAGAATTTTTATTTTACGCTTCTTGAAAAAGAACATTTTTGGACTTGGACATAGATTTGTTTAAAATGAGATATCCTTTTGTATGTACATAAAAAAGAAAATATAAGGGAAAGAAGTTGTTTAAGATAGTCCTAAATTTCTCCACTTTTAGACTTCTGAATTATCAGTGTCATATTTTTCCACATATTATCTTCAGACCCATTGGCTCTGAGCATGTTCACCGGTCTTTACAATTATGTAGTGCTAATCTACTTTTCAGAATAAGCAGTAATGGTTATTATTATTGTTATTATCTGCTATCTCCTCTTCTCACAAGCATCTGCTACCAGAGGTGAAGGGGTCCCCATTGTTGTCTCTGGGAGTTTCTTTTGATCCACTGGTGTTCATACTACAAATTTTGATGTTGGCCTTTTGAATATGGCCACATTCAGTGCAAGCAATAATGACCATGTCCCCACAGCAATACAGCCTGCTGATCGTAAGATGCCATCAAGAGTATAAGAGGCATCGTGACTTCGGAGATGTTAGAGCACCAAAAGCCTTGCATTTTAGCATTTTAGAAGCGATGAGATGGTAGGTTTCAGGTCCTGCTAGGTCTGGCCTGAGAAGGGAGACGTGACTGACCTGGCACGGCTTCACAGAGGGCTGGGCTGAGTGATCTTATTCCAGGCCTAGAAATCTGCCATGCACAAAATGCCGTTTCTTCACTATTACAAGCAGTCAGGGAGTACTCAGGGATCACAGTGGGGTCCCTTCCAGGGAGAACTGTCCAGGCCGGCAGCCCCTGAGATGCAGCACCAACCCAAAGTTCTGCGGTTGGTACATTATGCTTTTTTATCTTATATAATTTTAATGGACATTAAGCAGCATGTATCTTGTGCTGTTTGGGGAAAAAACATCAAGACTTCATTCTATGTTTATTCTAAAATTCATTCTAGGTTATATAGTTCACTCTAAAATTGTGACTATTTTTTCAAGATGTAATTGACTTAACTACAACAAAGATTTAATATTTAATTAAGTCCACGATGATTCAACAGTAAATAGTCTTTATATAAAATCACTTTGTCAGAAACCACCCCAAAATGACAAAACAAAAAAATTCAAGTCCCAGGGCCGGCTGAGTGGCGCGATGGTTAAGAACTGGCTTGGGATGCTAGAGGGCCCTGGTTCGGATCCCACATATGAGGGCCAGTGACACTGCCCTCCACAGCTAAGATGCTGAACAACAGCTCAACCTGGAGCTGGGCT